TAATATTACGGAAAGACTACGCGCAACACAAATGTGATTTGTGGTGATTAGGACTGATGTATGATTGGACACACTTCTTCCCGTGACTAGACTTGAGTACATTCTTCGGAATGCCTTTCTTAATAAAAGGGACAAGAGCTGGGCGTCAGACCAAGGGCGCTAGAAAGCGGCTTAAAGCTTAAAAATTCCTGATTTTAAGGGAATTTTATTGTCAGTTGGCAGCTCCGCCCCTAAAGACCCTTTTCATAGTGCACCATGATAGTGAAGAAAACAGCTGTTGGATAGGAGACGAAATGACCCGACTCCCTCGTCCTCAGTAGCTGACCTGAGATTATGCTGGGTGCAGTGGCGGGTAAGATAAAAAGCACGGCGCATGCAATACCTGAAGGTCACACTGGCACAAGCATGCCTGGACCTGTTTAATGAGCGTTCAGCTTACCCGATTACCACAATGGAGAAATCTAGGACGTTCCAAAAGTTCCGCAGATATGCATCCGGATGAAGGACAAAGCCATAAGCGATGATCTTCAACAGAGACTCCATGGTAAAGATGATAAGGAAGAAGAGTTCGGTTTTTTCCTACGAAAGATACACATGTAAATTGCAGGTAAACAGCATGTCCGAGCAATAGCAAAGTATGGTGGAAGGAATATATACTTAGTGTCCGATTAGTTTTACTCAATCCATATTGGTGTTATAGGCCTTGGCCGTGGGAGACCTATATTTTTATAAGAAGCATCCCGAGGAGTGAAAGGTTATGTCGTTGAAGCCTTATGGACAAAGACACGGGAGACTATAATGGACATTTCTGACTTATTAGCCATCATCGACCAATCATATCCAACCTCAGATTTTTCAAGAACCCCTGAGGTTCGAACCCATGATTTGTTTGTTAGTAGTCCAATGCGCTTATCATTTAGCCATGGGCTCCACAGTGATTGGCGGAGACGCTTATCGGTCACACTAAGGGAGATCCTCTTTCCGAGTACGCCTTGAGGTTCACTCTCAAGCCCCGCCAACAGGCGCAGAACGCTAAAACGACAAACAGACTAATAAGGGAGACTGAATGATCATTTCTGACGGGGCTCAAGAGTGCGTTTGAAGGCACAATCGGGACGGATATGTCCTGCATCGCGATTGTTACGTGATAATGTCATATGTGTCGCAGCCAGTGAGTTTCGAACCACGATAGTCGAAAGAGCCTTCCAGAAGTATTCTGCTGAGGGCACCAACTAGAGTCATTTGAGGATAAGATGCCGCTAAAGCGTAGCGATAATCTGAAGCATACCGTCATTCCATGACGATCGGCAAACTCCAGCACGCTTCAACTCTTTCTCCACCATGCTATCAATACCATAACTTAGACAGTAGCCTACAGGTTTTGAATTAACCAAAGGGCAGTTCGTTCTTATAAATATCTCCCGTATCTCTAGTGACATTGCATTCAATTCCAAGGCTGTTTAGTGTTAGCAGGACAAGTGTTACGTATGCACTTAAAAAGATTAAGGTTAGGGTTCGGACTAAAATTAGGATCCGGGAATATGCCCTCCTATGGAATTTGATGCAAAGTGACCTTGTAGTACCTTGAGGTCTAGGTGTGACCGTGTCCAACCAATCAGATTGGTTCAGTAAATCTCGCGTGTTAATTCAACAACTACATCAGATAGAAGGAAGACATTCAGCGAGGCATTTCGCACGTGCTTGAGGTAGGAAAACATAACATCTCGAGTAAGTCTTATTGGAATTCAAATCTCTACAGACTTTGTCCTGAATTTTCCTACGGTTTAAAAATGTTATGCAAAAAACTCACCAAAGCCAAATTCGTTGCGTTGAAGTCGCCCTGGGGATATGGGTGATTGATTGCCAGAGCTATGCAATTGGCCAGAATGGTTGCCAGGATGAAAAACTCGAAGGGTCTGTGGACCGTGGAGAAAAAAAAGCAGGGAATGACATGAACGTATCGAGGGGGGGGCGGAGAGGTGACTGGACAGAATATTTGAAACGACCTATTGACACGAGATAACAGTCGCAGACCAACGGGAAAGCTTTAAAGGCGAATTTACAATTTCACTGGCAGTTGCTTCTAGATTGAGCGTAAAGGACCAGGCCCTGCGACATGTGTTTTACCGTATTACCTTCGCCTAGGTGTATTAAACGTCTCAAATAAGATTATGAAAACGGCGGTTACACACCTGTTTGAGTAAACTGCCGTTTAGACCGCTCTTCATGGACTCACCGAACTAGACTGCGTCGAAGTACTGCTCCACTTCAGAGGCACTGCTACTTAGCGATCAGGTAGGATTCAACTTTCGTGCCGTCATTAAGCTTTCAGGCAGTCTCTTCTATCATTATAAACCACAACTCTGCATTCACCGTAACTGCCTATAGACGGTTGAAGATGGATACATTCTTTGTCGTGGTTGGCTTCCTTCAAGGGTAAAAAGCATGCTTATTAGACTCCAGCCATATCTACCCAATTAGGAAAACCTAGCCGGCGTCGGTAAGAGTTGAACTAACGCCAGTACGGGAAAAACTTTAGTACGCAAATGCTCTTGACAACTGAGCTACGTGGCCCCCACCGGGAGCCTTGAATTTAATCGCACTTGCTTCGATTCACCGGCCCAGCCTACTGCAACGTATGGAATTCACCAAGCAGAATTTCCTGAGCCATCAGTCTAGAATCCACCAGATGACCGTCAGGCTCTAGCTCTTAGCTCAGTTGGCTAGTGCGTTTGGCTGTACTTCAGACTGTCCCTTGCTGGCGTGGGTTCGAATCCCACCGAGGCCGTCAAATTTTTCCCATTGGGTCAATTGAATAATTCAAATCTGTCAACTCCTTTTATTACATATGTAATGGTAAAAGAGTCAGGTCAAACATGCGACTGTTGGTCCGCCCATCGAAATGGAGTGTACGAGGACGCCAGCGATGGTCCCACTCTGGTGGAACCTATCGAAAGTCCTGATTTTATAGCTTGCTTATCCTACTGACTGACCTATCGTCGAGAGGATTTCGGTGGCACATAGGCCAAGCGTCTTTGTTACGCCCTGTATTTCGTGAAATGGATTACTAAGAGGAGTATGGGGCAAATGTCCAGAGTCCTTGGCTATACTTATTCATATATGTACTCCGATGGAAAACTACTTCAGAAATCAGATGTTATTCTGGTTATTGATTGAGATTATTCCCAGCCTCCTTCTTGATGCTTACGCAAGGACAGTTAATTTATACATTCTTCTCCGTGTAGACCTCAGAGGCTTGCACCCAACTTCTAATGGCTAAACGACCTAAACAGCGGACTGGGAAAACCTACTTCCCAGCATTCAGCACATAGGCCTCATTATCAACATATTGACGCACCTTTAACCTACCCTGATGCGCTACAAGCTGTGACATAAAGGGTCGCCAAATGATGGGATAACTTGATGCTCTTCTCAGGATGGAGAGTCAGGCTGCAATTGCCCCGTCTTAAGGCAGCCTCTGTGACACTCAGACGGAAGCTGAGCTAAGCACTGCTTTTTGTGCGAGTAACCAGGTCAATCGTGCGCAAACCAGGCATGAGGGTTATGCGCCGACGTCCCGTTCAGCTATATCCTCCACCGTGAGTCTTCTTGACTCCATCTTGACACCAGTCTCAGGCGAGTGAGGGAGGAGAGTGCTTGAGGCAGCGCAGTTCTTTTATCACTCTGAACTCACTCCAGCGCTAGTCATCGGTTCTGTACCCGCCTTCATGTGGGGCACATGGTGGACTCCGCCATTTGCAATGATAAAACGGCCACATGTTCGAGGCAGCTGCACGAAAGTTGTTAACTCACACGCGACAGTTCGACCATTGATTTCGACTATATCCACCGTATGCTCCGCAACAGGATGGTGCAAGCAGGGCGACTTACGCTTGAATTAGTTTGAAAAGATAGTAGACTGGCGCTGCATCTCCCTTACTCTCGCTTATCTCACCCACCTGAACCCTGTGTCAAAACGCAGTCAAGAAGAGCGGAGGCGCGCTCGGGCACAGGTGGCTGGCGCGACCGAAGCTGCCCACAGGAGCCCACTTCTGACCACCATCACGAGCACGACGACCGTCACCACCATACAAGACAGATACAGGACTGACTGTGTGGTCAGACTTGTGCCATCAGTGGCAACCCTCCAAGTCACGCCTTTTAGCACACTGCGATAGCTTCAAGCGCGTCTGATGATTTATAGTGAGGGATTAAATGCGCTGAGTGTCGACCTCGCTCTCACCCCTACCTCCAGCATCAGACCAACGTCTAAGTCGG